GATACAATTAAGCATAATTAATCTTTGCCCAGCATTAATATTGTAATGGCATGACTTAAAGTTAACAGTTTAAAACTCTTCACACTGATTTCACAAGAAGTTGCCAGTACAATGTTTTGTTGAATTAATTTATTAGAAATGGTTTTGTAAAACAATGTTTCTTATGGAAGTGAAGGGACATTTTTTTCATGATTTTTTTTTAAAGCTATCCGCTTGTTAAGTCATAACGTATGGAATAATGTTTCAAAATCCAAACCGCTACTCATTTGAATTAAGAAAATATTTGCTTATCTAAATAATCACTTTTTAGTCATATTACACATTAAAGTAAATGATACTTTGCTGCATCAGACACCAATATTTTTATAATTCTTAAAAAATGTATCACTTTCTGCCTAACAGATATTAGGCATGGATACATACATATACACACACGCACACACATATATATATCCGTATATGTGTGTATATATATATCTATATATATATATATATATATATATATATATATATATATGTGTGTGTGTGTGTGTGTGTGTGTGTGTGTGTGTGCATATGTATATATCGTGATTTTCTAAAATAATACAGCGCTTGTTAAAGTTTATGATTACCATTTGTTGAGTCTTAACAAACAGATATGTTAATTACTATACTTCTCAGGACTAATGATTAATTTATTTTGATATATAAATTTTTTTATGTTTAATTAGATCTTCTTTTTTATATGCTTAATTAGATCTTCTAGTTCTTTTAAATATTAAATATTTATTCTTGCATGTGGATTTTTGTCAAAATGTACATATTGTAAAGACTAATGAATAGGGGCATATTTGACTTCTATTTCCACCTTTGGTGATTTTAGTACTTAAATAGTTTTGTTTCAGCTATTTGCCAGGTCAACAAACATGATAAAAATGTTTTAATGGATTTAATTGTGTTTTGTAGCTGTAGCAAAACTATTTGCAGCATTATTTTTTATGTCTCAGTTGCTCTTTATCATGTTTTTATTCTGGTTGTTGTTTATTATGGTATGGCGACAGGGGCAGATGGCCCCCGCTGTATATCAGATTAAATCATTAGGCATCAGATCTGTGTAATAGGTTTGGACGGGTGGTCTGAGGCTCCTGCTAAGTCTGGACTCTTTACTGGCCTGTTTGCATTTTTTAGAAAATGACTCCCCAGACAATTACATTATATAGTAAACCATAGACTCGTGTTATCACTATTTGGCCAATTAGGAAATTAAATGTGTGATTTAATTACACTTAAATAGATAAATGTTGATTAGATGCCTTTCTTGGTGTCGATTTTCATCCAAAGATGTAAAGCTTGTATGGTTAATTAAGTTGGGATGAGCTCTGTCTTAAATGCTTGTTATTTTGAGATAAAGTATCCTCCACATAAGCAGCACACAGGGGATAAAAGGGGCCGATTCCATTAACTCATTCTCTGCTCCTTCATAAATCACTCTGACTGTTATAGCTGTGTGTGAAAGGCAAGGACGGGGGTCGAAATGGGGGGAAGGGGTTAATAACAACAGCCATGTAGAAATTCCACCTCTGTGTTTGTGACACCATCACCTAAGTGCCAAAATCACAGTATTTGATTAACAGACCATCTGAAAACAAGACTTACCTGCATTCAAAGCTGCTGCTGCTTTAGTGGAATTTATATATATATCTTCACCTTGGAGTTTTAAGGTTCTATCGGCTTTCTTAACGATTTTGAGATATTGAGCTTCAAAGTTTTTGCATTCCATATAGAAGGTCTCTTTCATACATTAACATGACAGTGACCCTAAATGTACTCTAAATGTAAAAAATCAAAATTCCCTTAAATGTGCAAGTTGGGGTAAAACAAACAGGGTAAATGCAGATATTTATTCAATCATTCATTTTCCTTTTGGCTTAGTCCTTTTATTAATCTTCCAGCTGCAACCCATCACAGGGAAACATTTATACACACTCATTCACGCACATACACTATGGACAGTTTAGCTTACCCATTTCACCTCTTTGGACTTGTGAGGAAAACCCGGAGGAAACCCATGCGAACGCGGGAAGAACATGCAAACTCCACACAGAAATACCAACTGACCCAGTCGAGGCTTGAACCAGCAACCTTCTTACTACCTGCTGCACCACCGAGTCTCCCTCAAATGCAGATAGTCATTTTAAAGTCATTTTCTGCTTGAATTATATGGTTCTGTCTAGCAGATCATTACTTGGAGCATAAAATACAATCAGTCTGCTTATTCATAAATTTAAAAAAATAAAAATTGGTCTTGTAAAAATGTTTTCTATAACATTTATTTAATGTTTATTATTAATTTATTTCTTGTTCACATTAAGTATTAGGCATGGGACAACAAGCGTTTTCAAGGTATACTGCAGTTTGTAAAAGTCAAGGTTTTTAAACCGTCAAAAGTTTTTGCAATACCGTTCCTAAGGTATGAGTAAGATTTTTTATGTGCGTTTTTGTTTTTGTTTTTTTTATACTACAATTTCTCTAGCAGAAATGATGCCGTTTTAAACTGTAAAAAAAATCTGTTTTTGAAACCAATGCAGACAGTAAAATTCAATAACTCATTTAGCCTGACGTGTTTACTGCTCTAAAATATTTGAAATAAAACCGTGATATTTTTATCCAAGGTTATCATACCTTTAGAATCTAATGGTATACCCATGCCTATTAAGTATACAAGCCTGTGCTAAATATTTTTTCCAGTGCAGATGTTACTTTTATGTAATTAATATGGTAATATTTATTGAATTATATACTTTATATGAATTATTGAATTATATGACCCATAAATTAAATTAAGTATTTGTCCTTCAAGACTTAATATTAAATTAAAATTAAAAATTTTATTTTATTTAATTTAAAGAACACAGACAATGAGCAAATGAGTTTAAAAAGGATGAAGACTATGTAGGTCGAAACGTTGTCACATGAAAAAATTGACATTTAAAGTGGCAGTGTGCCAATTTTTATTTTTTTTTATTTTTATTATTATTATTTTCTTTGATCAAATGAGTTTAATAAACACAGAAAAAAGATTAACTGACTATATATACACAAATAAAAATATATTTCACATTTAATATATATGTTTTTTATATTCATCACATTTACACAAATCTTTTCAGTTTCAGGTTTCTTCTCAATTTTGTATGGTGCAATATTATTTACTCGACTTGATTTTGTTTTTTTCTGGTCTTTCCCACTGTCAATGGAGCAATCCTGCAAAATGACAAAGAAAGCTGATAAAAATCCTGATTGGTCCTTGTGTGTGCCTTCAAAATGCTGATTGGCTCACAGAAAGAACCTTACAGAGCAAAGCTAGAGTTTGACTTTGTAGAGAAAACCTTTTTTTTGTTTTTTTAAAGAAAGTCTTAAATTGTAAACAACTTATTAAAAAAATCATATAAAAACATTTAAATAAGGTTTAATTAATAAGAATCAAGTCATTTAATAAGAATATGTAAACAACTCAATTTTGACAAAATATAATATATATTAATATGCTTTGTTTTATTTTTTTTAGAATTGTTATTTATTGTTTTAAGTAGTTTTTAAATTGTATTTATTTAGCATTTAATTAATTTTTTTCACAATTTAATATTTATTTTATTCATTTATATTTGCAATTTTTCTTTCTTTATTTTTTTATTTAATTAAATAAAATAAATATTTTTATTTATTTATTTTCTTTTTTTTTCACACAAAAGCCAAATGTGTCACTCAAACCTATCCATTTAAGCTTGATTGATTTAAAAAAAATGTTGTTTTTTTGTTGTTGTTATTTTAAGTGAAAGAGGATTGAGAATAACCCAACAGCTGTTTCTCTCTCTGTTGTTGTTCCAGGTCCATCAGTATTACAGCTCTTTGCCGGAAGATAAAGTACCATACGTGAACAGTCCTGGAGAGAAGTATCGCATCAAACAGCTCCTGCATCAGCTTCCACCCCATGACAATGAGGTATGATCAGCTTGAAAAGGTCACCTTTCACGGTGCATGTATGTTTGCACCCTTACATGTTCACCTTTTCATGACACCTCTGACCTGGGCTGTTGTGAGCAGGTGAGATACTGCAACAGTCTGGATGATGAGGAGAAACGAGAGCTCAAGCTCTTCAGCAACCAGAGGAAGAGGGAGAACCTGGGCAGAGGAAACGTCAGACCCTTCCCCGTGACAATGACCGGAGCCATCTGTGAACAGGTGGATATATTATTTATTAGAGATGTTTATCAGCAGAAACACCAACTAGTTGTCTAAATGAACAGACAAATAAATGTGGGAAAAAGACGGCATATTTCAAATCATTTTGTGAGATTTGTCAATCTAGAAATCAGTTTTTATATGTATTCCCTTAAGAAAACAGAAGTGCCCTTACTGCTGTCTTAAGAGTATACAGTTGAAGACCTAAAGTTATTAATTATTCTTTTTCAAGTATTTCTAAATTGCAGTTAAATGGAGAGAAGATTTTTAAATGTAATATTTTTAATAATAAATTCTAATAACTAATTTATTTTTTCTCTGCCATGGTGACAGTACATAATATTCTACTAGATATTTTTCAAGATACTTGTATTAAGTGCTATTAAAGGCTTAACTGGTTTAATTACAGTAAGTTAACTGGGTAATCTAGGTTCATTAAGCAAGTCATTGAACAGTGGCCAATTGAAATACTAAAAATATATATCATGTGATATGGCTGTATTTTGGTGCTGTTGGGAGGTGTGCCTTAGTGTCCCACCAATGATGATATATAGCCGTATCGCACTTCTACTCATGTGATATTGCATTTATACAACAATTTGACAGCACAATCATGTATATAGAAAGATCAAACACAGAAAGTCTAAAAACCCTTTTGTAAGAACTACTTTCTTCGGCCATTCTTTCACATCTGCAGCTGATGTCAGAACAGCAGAAACCATGGCTACTTCACAAATGTCACTTTAGAGCTAATGTTTGAATGATTCTTTAGCGTAATGTCTAAAATGATGACAAAACAGGAGACGTTGCTCACATTTTACGATTATAAGGCTGAACAGCATGAAATGCCACCAATCTACAGAGAAATCTCCCAGTATTTTTCTGTTGCAATCGAGATATCACAACAATTAACCCTGAACAACGTTAACACTACCAGATGCAGTTATTATTTAAATTAAATTCTGTAGTAGTATTAAATTCTGCTGTAACGAAAACAGGAGACTCACTAGAAACAAACAGATGGCCAACAAAAAAGTAACTCAGGGTTATACAAAGTGGCCAACACAAAATATATACAATCCTGATATCTGAGTCCTATCTCACACTCAATGCACTACAACTACAAGAAAGACACTTAGCAGTTTTATAATGATTTAATAAGCTGTAATTTAAAACTACATTGGGTTTTTCTCCGCTAAGGGCTTATTGTGTGTTCTTTGTCGCCATCTTGTGGATGGTGGTGGATCTCAGTGATTATAAACATTTTAAATAGGCACTATCCTTATAAATAAACTGCATAGTTGCAGTCTAAACAGCTACAATCTCACCTAAAAAGTCTCAAAAGTACATTATGTTGTCCAACAGCTGCAATATTTGTCAAACTGAAGTGAGTTTATTGTTCTGCTGTCACTCTATGTGGGTGGAGTATTACAGAAGAGTGACGAGTTCTGATATTGCAGAATATTGCACAACTATCAGCCAATCAGATTCAAGAACCAGAGAGAACTGTACTGTGTGTGTGTGTGTGTGTGTGTGTGTGTGTGTGTGTGTGTGTGTGTGTGTGCGTGTGTGCGTGTGTGCGTGTGTGTAGATACTAAGGAAATGTTAAAAATCACAGACCTTATATTTTTGCCTTTTAACTATAGGAAAAAATGTTCTTGCAAATAATATATGAATTAAGTAAAAGCCCATTTCAGTTTACATGTAGAGAATCATTTCTATTGCAAGTTTGTGTGTCTCTTGATCATATGTATATTTGTTCTATTGTGTTTATTTGTGTGATTTGATGTATTTTGCTCATTACTTTTAATGTGCTTATTACTGACTGTTCACTCCTCTGTCACAATGTTTTAACGTTGTATAATTTAGGTTAGTAGTTTCTTCTCTAATACTGAGATTGTAATTAAGAATCGCGAAATCTATTAGCATACTAAATGGCATACTTTATCAGAATGTTACACGGCAGCTGAACAAGAGAAAGTATGGGTAGGGCAAGCAAATATCTAAACAACTGGCCTGACTGGACCAATAATAAAAGTCTGTAGCATTGAGACATGCCTTACCTCAAAAATAAATAAATTAAGACATGCATTTCCTCATGGTTTTGAAGATGATATCAAGTTGTGGTCATTTGTGTGTATTGTTCTTGTCAAAGTTAGAATTTCAAGTATCAAGATAACATTAGTTCATTGAAACTTATGCATATTTTCATATTTAGTTTTAAGGCTTCCTCTGTAGGTTTGTGTGTGTGTCGCCCACCTGGGATACCATGTTAGTGCCAGTAAGTGAATTAGAGCTGAGTCTAAGCTGGATATGCATGTCTGTGACCACCTGCCTTGTTTCTCTCCCCTTCTGCTACCTCTCAGGAACAGATGTCACACTGACACAGTTTGTCTTTTTTTCACGTTTGAAATGTATCTGTGAAACACGTGAAGCCCCCCATTTTGCCCCCACTGCAGTTGGAAAGATGCAGTCTTTCTAATAAATATTGGTCTCGAAGGCAAATAATGTACAAGTGTGTGTGTTTGTGTGGAGATTCATGCATCTGTCTGTCCCATTAAACATTTGCTGAGTCTCGACGTAGCACATGATATTGAAAAATGCTGAAGGGGCCTTTAATGGAGAAAGCAGCTAATATCAGCTCTTGCATTCTGTTCTTAGATTCAGCACGGTGGTCACAATGTTTTCAGAATGCTAGATGTGCAAAAATATTTTAACACAAGTTTGATGGCAGGATGATGGTTTTTTTTTTGTTTTTGTTTTTTAAGAAAAGGCTATATATTTAATCAAACAGAATACAATGAAATTGATGATTTAGTTGTTATTAAATAAAGATAAGAAATATTTTATTAGATTAATACAATAAAGATGACTATCATGTCATAAAATAATTACATTTGTTGAAGATATTTAAGAGAATTTAATGAGGAATTGAAAAAAATACATAAATATTTAGCCTGGAGCACACATGTAATCCTCTTAAGATGTATTTTTAATGTAATATTTTCAGTCACTAATAAATAATGTGGTCACTTTTTTATATAAGAACTTCAGCTAATCATTTGGTGGACGACAAATTGAACTGTAAACAGGTTACCCTGCTACTAAATCAGCCGTAAATGTCAACACACCTCTTTTTAACCCTTTCCTTCCTGTCTTGTAACTCTCTCCCTCCCACTGTTCTCTTATTTTCAGTGTGGAGGACAGATCAATGGAGGTGACATTGCGGTCTTTGCATCACGAGCAGGTCATGGTGTTTGCTGGCACCCCCAGTGCTTTGTGTGCAGCATGTGTGATGAGCTGCTGGTGGATCTGATCTACTTCTACCAGGACGGGAAGATCTTCTGCGGTCGCCATCATGCAGAGAGACTCAAACCCCGCTGTTCAGCCTGTGATGAGGTTAGACACTTTCACATTGACATTACTGGACATGAGTCTCTATGTGCTTAAAATAAACATCATTACTAAATGTAACATTGCAGATATTTGGATTCAGTCCTTTGTAAAAATGCTAATTGGATAAATTATGAACAAAACTAACATGGAGCAAATTAAAACATTAAAGAGAAATATATATATATATATATATATATATATATATATATATATATATATATCTCTCTCTCTCTCTCTCTCTCTCTCTCTCTCTCTCTCTCTCTCTCTCTCTCTCTCTC